TAAGAGTAGGTTAGATAAATGTCTATCAGGGATGGTCTAGACAGTATTTGGTCCTGCCATGCAGGCAGGGGACTGGACTCGATGACCTCTCGAGGTCCCTTCCAGTCCTAGAATCTATGAATCTATGAATAAGAATCTATAAATTCTACAGCAGGACAGCTCTTCACCATGGTTGCTATAGTGACCACACATTGTATAACTTCTGAGGATTGTGTTTAAATTCGCAGTTAATACATGTGGGGTTAGCTTAGTCAGCCTACTGCTGCAATGACAGTGAACCCAATTACCTTACCCACAGATGAGCCTGAGAGACAGAGGTCAGAAGGCCAGGGGGAATTCTTTGAGATCAGGAAAGATTCAGGAAGTGGAAGAGACAAGCTTAGGCATTTTAATCTTAGATATTTCTGAGGTGCCTGTCACTAGAGCTGGGTGAAATTTACTTGGTAAATAGCTGATTTGGCACTGGCGAGTTGACTGTTCATGAATTCAGGTAAAATCTGATGAATAGTTTCAACTGAATAAAAATGGGGGAAAAGTTTCCAAAAAAGTCAAAATATTTAGTTTTGACATTTTTGAAACAAAATTTCAAAGTTTGTGACAAAACGATGTTTTATTAGGAAAATTTAGCTCAGTTTAATTAAAAAAATAGAGTTAAACAAAAACCCTGAAAACTAAGCATTTTGTTTAGGGTAGCACAAAACATTTAATTTGATCCCAAACCATTTGTTTTACAGTTTTTTTCATTTTGTCGGGAAAAATTGGCTTTTCTGTTTCAGGTGAACCCAAAGAAAATACTTTCATATTATTGGGTTCAGGCACTGAACCAAATAACCAATTATTCATACAGCCCTACGTGTCACCAGGGTATCTAAGCCCTGAACATATCTATTTATTTAACATTTATGTATCTTCACTGGATTTCATTTCTCCCTGACTCACAAGTATGTTTTTTGGGAGAGGTTTGATTTCTTTCTTTCTCTGTCTCTGCTCCACCCCTCAACTCTCTCCCTGCTTCTTTCTTTTTCTTCCTACTACACCAGCTCCATCTCATGCAAGTTGGTCTAGTCCCTGTTTCCAGGTCTGGATCTTTGGAGTCATTCCTCAGCCTTCTTGTCTGGTGTTCTGCCTTGGAATGTGAGGCGCTGCCTTCCACTTGCCCTAGACCCTGAAATCAGTATCTGAGATCTCCCAAGTTGACCTCCAGTCAGACTCTCACCCTGCTCCAGCGCTCCACCTCGGTTGTGGGCTCTCTGGGCTTCTAGTTTGTCACCTTCAGGGATAATGTGGCAGGAAAGCAAGAAACACAGGCTTGTCACAGGGGCTTATTAATCAGAGACTTTGTCTTCAAAGCACTCAGGAGTTACAGATCTTTGAAAAGCAACAGAAGTCCTGAGATCCCTCCTCCCTAAGTCTTATCGGGCCCTTCCCACGAGTCCAAGGCATATCAGGGTTTCAGGCTGGGCAGAGTCCCTCTTGCCCTCTCTCTCTCCTGTACATCCTGCTTACATGTCATGATGGTCATATACACCTCCTGCACAGGGCAGCTCTGGGGTCTCTGTCCCCTTGCCATGTGACCCACTGGGTTGCCCCTGCACCCTCTCCTAGTCATGCTTGCCCTGCCTGTGGCCCCTCTTTTCCATAGGGATGGGCCAGAAGTTGAGATAATCACAGTCAATGACTTCAGAGCGTAGTCCTGATGGCTTCTCAGTGACAGTCCTTCAACCGACTGTCATGCAGCTTTCCTGCACAGGAAATGCAGTTCAATGGGTTTGTCTTGGGCAAGTTCAGACCTGTGTTCAACAGCTAATACAAAATGGGCTTTGTAATTTTGTATGGTCACTCACACACACACACACACCCCTCTGACACAGGATTTCAAAGGTGTCAAGCCCCATATGAAGCGGATAATAAGGGCTGCAGGGATGGGACACTTTGTCTACTTCCTGAGAGGCTGGAATAGCTGCTAAATGCCTCTGTGTGGTGTTAGTCTTTAGGGTAGACGCGGATGAAGGAGTAAGTCAAACTGATTTTCTGTGGAGATAATAGAGGGCACCATGTGGACCTGTTTGCACCCTGCCAGATCCCTTTCCACTGGTAGATGGCTGCTATGATTCTAGGAAGACATGAGCCCCCTGCACTTGAATATGGCCCCGTGCCCTGTCAGGAGCCAAGCTGTCAGGGAGAAGGCTCCTGAGATGCAGCAAGGTGCCTTCGTTCTACGTTAGCATCCAAGACCAGATTCAGCCCAATGGAGTCGGCTTTGGCCAGCTGCACCAGAGCTGAGAGCCGCACCTGGCCTAGCCAGTATGAGGCTATGAAGATTATAGAACCCTTGTCTCTTCTGAGATGTGCCAGTGCCTGTGTCACCAGGAGCAGATATTAAGGTCCACAGGAGCATTCTTCTCCCAGAGGTAGAGAGAGCCCCCCTTGCTAACGTTATCTATTCTCCAGGCTATCAGCAGATGGCTGGTAGGTTCTTGTTCAGGGATGTAGCAAAGAGAGACTTCCCTCTCTCTGGTGCCCTTTGAGACTGGGATCTCTAGGGAAATTCCAGCCTTTTCTAATGTACGGTTGAGAGAGATGGGGGGGACTTGAGAAGTGGCAAAGTGGAGCCATCCCTGAATCCTGAATGTTCAATACTAAGGCTGGGTCTACACTACCCGCCTGAATCGGCGGGTAGAAATCGACCTCTCGGGGATCGATTTATCGCATCCCGTCAGGACGCGACAATCGATCCCCGAATCGACGCTCTTACTCCACCAGCGGAGGTGGGAGTAAGCACCGTCGACTGGAAGCCGCAGAGGTCGATTTTGCCGCCGTCCTCACAGCGGGGTAAGTCGGTTGCGATATGTCGAATTCAGCTACGCTATTCACGTAGCTGAATTTGCGTATCTTAAATCGACTCCCCCCTGTAGTGTAGATGTAGCCTCAGTCTACCATAGATGGTGGTTTATTTGCTGAGTCCTCAATTGAAAAGATACAGCAAGAGAGAAGAATAGGCTCCTCCCATCCACAAAACTTCTTATTAGCAGATGCCCAAGTGTGTCTGCTCAGAGATGGAAAACACTCATATGTGGAATACTGGATCAATGAGAGCTACAGATGCACGTGGATTGAAATCCACACATGACCATGTGGTCCCCACCATCCATTACTACAGCTGTGTGATTCCTCCCTCCCACCTCCCCACCCCCAAATAAACGAATCTTTCTAGAAATAACAGAGGGAACTGGACAGACAGACGTTCTCATTTTCTCTCTGCTTATCTGTCTCCTGCAGGTTTTGTGATTGCCATTTGACAGCTGCTTGCTGTGAGGATTTCTCCTCTATTCTTGGTACCAAACAGACCTTGGTTGAGTTGTGCCTGGCAGGAAACAGCCTGGGAGAATCAGGAGTGAAGCTGCTGTGTGAGGGACTGAAGCATGCAAACTGCAAACTGCAGAAACTGAGGTGAAAATTTACCGTTTTTTTTCCGTAAAGGACTCCATGGAGTGTGAGGATGGTGTAAGGTGTTGGCTCCCTGCAGGTACATGAAGGGGGTGTCTACATTGCAAAAAAGACCCACAGCACTGAAGTCTCAGTTCCTGGATCAACTGATCCAGGCTCACACTACAGGACTAAAAATATCTGTGTAGTGAGGCGGTGTGGCTCCCCTCCGCCCCGGAGCGGGACGAGCCCATCCAGAGACCGGAGTGGAGATAGGGAGCTTGGAGCCTGCCCCTCAGAGGGTCAGGCGGCAACCTGGAAGTATAAAGGCTCGCCCTCAGATCTCACTAGGGAGCCAGCCGCCGGGCAGGCCAGACGTCTCCAGCCTAGTCCACGACTGGGAAAACCCTACTGCCCAAGGTGCCCACCAGAACTGGCCTGACTTGCCCTGCGCTCGCTATCCAGAGGAGGTGCCAGACCTGCCCTGCTCCCACTACCCGGAGAAGTTGCTGGGCCTGCCGCTCACCCACTACCCTGAGGAACCCATGGTGCTGGACTCCCCGGAGGACAACACCCTGACCCAGGTACCACCAGAGGGGGAGTCTGGAAGTAGCCCAGGGGCAGCCAACCCTAGTCTGGCTGCAACACTGCCAGAGCCCAGGTCAGTGTGTTGCAGTCAGGATCCCCACTGACTCAGCAGCGGGTCTTCTGCTGCTGCTAGGGCCCTGGGCTGGGACGCAGTGGAGTGGAAGGGCCTGCGTCCCCCCTGCCACCCAACTCGTGGGTGGCAGTTCCCCCTCTCCCAGGCCTTGAAGGCTTGGGCCTACTGTTGTTGCTCAGCCCTGCCTGAAAGCCTGACTCCGTATTGCCCGGCCCTGACATAGGGCCTGGGCTTGCTACTATTTGTACTGTTACTGCTCAGCCCTGCCTGAGCCCCTGACTCATTGCTGCCCAGGGCCTGGGCTTATTGCTACTGTTTATACTGCCAGTGCTCAGTTCCTGCTGGAGGGCCTGAGCACCTGACTCACTGTTGCCCCGCCCTGACCCAGGGCCTGGGCCTATTTCTGTTGTACCGCTGTGGCTCAGCCCCTGCCTGAGGACCTGAGCACCCGACTCATTGTTGCCCCTCCCTGACCCAGGGCCTGGGCTTATGGTGCTTATTTCAGTTACTGCAAGAGCCTCCAGGAAAGACTCCCGTGGCCAGACTAATTCCCCAAACCTCAGCAGTGTGCAGTGAGCCGGTGTGGCTCCCCTCCACCCCGGAGAGAGACAAGTCCCGGCCAGCACCTTTACAAGCAGTGTAGACGTTCCTGCTCAGGCTGGAGCCTGGGCTCTAAGATCCACTTCCCGTGCTGGGTTCCAGCCCAAGCAGAAACATCTACACTGCTATTTTTAGTTCTGTAGCACAAGCCCAAGTCAGTTAACCCAGGCTCTGGGACTCGCTGCAGTGTAGACACACCCGGACAGGCTGGACGCTGAGTGTCCCTCCAGCCCCTGGTGCGTCAGTGGCTCCCAACAGTGCGCAAGCCTGTCGTGTTCGGTAAATGGAATTTATAAATAAAGATGGGCACATATTGGAGCAGTAGTTCCAATCCCCCTGAATCTGAAAAATAAGTCATCGTATATAAATGATTCCTAATGTGTCCCTGGCATTTAAAACTAATGCAGAATCTTAATCACTTTGATAAAAGCCCCATTTTATCATAGTTTTAATGATTTTTAAAATAATTTTACACTTATTTTGATTTACAACTAATGAAAGCACAAGAGGCCCTAGGAGCCTGATGACCCTAAATCTCCCCGTCGTTCCTTATAGACACATTTCCATGATGGGAGCAGTGTGCGTCTCGGGAATTGTGGGAGGGATTCCGGCTCAGGAAGGAAGAATTTTTCCTGTAACTCCTTCATGTGCCAAGGGAGGGGGATTTGCCTGCAGCTAACCCCCCTTCAGGAGGTGCACCATGTTCTTTTGTTTTACCCGGTCAGCTCTGCTGGCCATTACTTACAGGTGTATTTTATCATGGCTCCTTTCTGCTCTTCCCTGCATCCTTTAGTGATTCTTCTGCCCCTAAGGTAGGGAAAGAAGAAGAAGACTGTGTTCATGGGGGGCCCAGCACAGAACACAAGGAGAAGGAGGTGTCACCCCTTTTTGACTTGAGCAGTTAGCCAAAATTTGGGGCCCTGTGTATTGTTTGTTAGAAGGAGAAATTGGTGATGGATCCAGGTATCTTTGATTCAGTCTTGTTTATGAAGACTGCACACAGTCCCCTTTCCTCAAACACAGGAAGAATCAAACAGGAGGTAGTCTCTTTGCTCAAAGCTCACACCTCTTTCATCAGCACGGAGCTGCCACAAGCTCTCTCTGGGCTTTTTCTTACTGAAACATCCCCAGTGCTTGTTCGGCTGCCTTGTTCTGCCCTTCTGTCTCTCGTTCTGTGGTGTTTCTGACTGCTTTCCTCTCGCACACAGACACAATCGACCCACTGCCCTGGGCTTACCAGATCGTTATGGAACCCCCTTGTGCCACATGGTGAACTCCTGCTCCAGCCTTGTACGTGGCCTGTGTTTTGAGCAGAGGCCTGTATTGGATTCAACTGTCTATTCCATAAAGTAGTTCAATTGCTCTTTTTACATTGATTCTGAATAAAAGGCAGCTATTATTACACCCAACCTATAAAAGAGGCTTCATGTGGTCTCCCCGCCGCTTGTGCACCTTTTCAGTAGTCCAACTCAGTGTGTGAACTGTAACATTCACCGTTTTCAGCTCCTGCCTGGCTGAGGTGTGAGGTGAGGTACTCACAGCAGGAGGTGAAACTATTCTCAGCGGAGAGAAGGCACCAGTTTGTAGAAAGACCTTTGACATACAGCCCCCCTGGGTAATAGAAAAGCATTTAGTCACTATTGTCACAATAGCCACTGCAGTAGCTGTTCTAATAATAGATGAGGCTCTCTGAGTTACATCAGGTACCTGCGACATTCCAGCAATTGATAGGCCTAATTTTTCAATAACCAATATGCCACTTGATAACCATGTCGTAGTCTTAGAAAAGGTGGCCACAGTCTTAAGATCCATTAGGGAGGCAGGACTGACTGTAAACCCCGCAGAGTGTTCATGAGAAAGGAACATAGATGCTCCAGCGTGTAAGGCCAGGGTGTCAAACTCACTTGAAGAGCGCTGAATTCTATGGTTAATTATGGTCCTTAGCAACAGAAGGTCCTGTGGCACCTTTGAGACTAACAGAAGTATAGGGAGCATAAGCTTTCGTGGGGAAGAAACTCACTTCTTCAGATGTAAGAAGTGAGGGTCTTAACCAAGAAAGCCTATGCTCACTCTACTTTTGTTTG